AACATTTTTGTCATTGGATCTGCCAGAAATTTAAAGAAGCCTGTTAGTCTCTGATCACATTTGTGATTTTGCCATTTTTTCCCCCTTGTACTTTGAATAGGTTTTGCTTTGAAAATTTTGATGCTAATTGAGCTCATAAAAGTTCCTGCTTAGGTATTATGCTCTATCAAAACAAGAGTACTATTAATTTTATTTAAGGCCCATTTACATGGCGTTATGTAATATTTAGTTTTAATCCTAGGGAGTTTCGGAAGTTCTATTTGTGCTTGTGTGGAACTATTTGTCTAGGAGTTTTTGTTGTTGTTGTTGTTGTTGTTGTTGGGACAGAGTCTCGCTCTGTCGCCCAGGCTGGAGTGCAGTGGTGCGATCTCAGCTCACGGCAAGCTCTGCATCCTGGGTTCACGCCATTCTCCTTCCTCAGCCCCACCAGTAGCTGGGACTACAGGCGCCCACCACCATGCCCGCCTAATTTCTTTTTTTGTATTTCTAGTAGAGATGGGGTTTCATTGTGTTAGCCAGCATGGTCCCTATCTCCTGACCTTGTGATCAGCCTGCCTCGGCCTCCCAAAGTGGTGGGATTACAGGCGTGAGCCACTGCGCCCGGCTAAGTTTTGTTTTTTAATACAGTTCACATTATTGCTATAGCTGATGTTAGGGTTTGTTTCTGTTATCTTTCTGTTTTGTAACTATTTCCATTTGATATCTTTTTTTCATATGTATATATATTTTTTTGCTTTCCCCTTCCATTGTATTAGGTTTACAGTCTTATTTTATTTTATTTTTTTTTTTGAGACAGTCTTGCTCTTTTGCCCAGTCTGGAGTGCAGTGGCCCGATCTTGGCTCACTGCATACCTCTGCCTCCCGGGTTCAAGCAGTTCTCCTGCCTCAGCCTCCTGAGTAGCTGGGACTATAGGTGCCCGCCACCATGGCCGGCTAATTTTTGTATTTTTGGTAGAGATGGGGTTTCACCGTGTTAGCCAGGATGGTCTCGATCTTCTGACCTCGTGATCCACCCGCCTCGGCCTCCCAAAATGCTGGGATTACAGGCGTGAGCCACCGCATCTGGCCTATGGTCTTATTTTAATCATACTAATAGTTACCTTTTTTTTTTTTTTTGTTTGAACCAGATTGTTTTTATTTTTCATGTTTCTAGTGACTTCTTTCCAGCAAAGATGCTTTTTTCCCTGTCTTACTCTGGAGACCAAATTGCTTTGTGTTTGGACAGGGTGCAGTTTAGGTAGCTGGTTCTCAGGGAAATTTTTCCATATTGAAAAGGATTAGGTAAGGGTTCTGTTGTTACACGCTGCAGCCAGGGTGGCCCCGATGAGCAGGGACCTGGGATTCCCTTTACCCAGCACAGAACATGGTCTTTAAATTAGGTACTAAGAATGTGTTTTTCCTGTTGAAGGGTTTTATAAATTAAATAGCTACACAATTGGCTTTTGGGAGGATAAAGGAATGAGAGTGGTAAGGTTGTTATGTTAGAGGGTGATAAAGCTGTGAGGCTTTTTCCCTCTTTTTAAGGATTTCTAACCTGATTATCTAAGTTACCTCAGTCCCATGTCTTTGCACCTTGGAGAATGCAAGCTGTTAATTTGCAAATGTTTTTGAGTAGGATCAATCAGTGAAATTCCATGTTGGTTCCAGAAATCCCTTTGGGTATCTCAGTCAATTCATGATGCACAACTGCTTTGAGTTACCTGCAGGCTACCCGAGAAGTACATATACAGATGCCCTTCTGTTTTTTTTTTTTTTGTTTGAGATGGAGTTTCGCTCTGTTGCCCAGGCTGGAGTGCAGTGGCACGATCTTGACTCACTGCAAGCTCCACGTCCTGGGTTTACGCCATTCTCCTGCCTCTGTCTCCCCAGTAGCTGGGACTACAGGCACCTGCCACCACGCCCGGTTACTTTTTTGTATTTTTAGTAGAAACTGGGTTTCACCATGTTAGCCAGGATGGTCTCGATCTCCTGACCTTGTGATCCTCCCACCTCGGCCTCTTCAAAGTGCTGGGATTATAGGCATGAGCCACTGCGCCCAGCCACAGTTGCCCTTCTTGCGAAAACGTTACTGAGACATCTTACTCCCTCACTGGAGCACAGGACATTACTTTTACAAGGTGGTACCAAGAACATGTATTATTCTATTAAAAAGTTTTCTATGTTCTAAATTCCAAGACAATTGACTTTTGGAAAGTAGAGTGATGTGGTTAAGTTACTGAACAGTGATGTTATCTGGAAATAACTTAGCTTCTGCCTTCCCTGTGCCAGTTCCCCCTTAGGGCTCTCATCTTTCACTATTGCAATTTTCTGTCCCTTTAAGTCACCTCCATTTTGTTATTTGTAAATTCCCTTGATATGTATTGCTCATATTTTAGAAAAAAGGTACAGAGTGGTATTTCTGTATGTGCAAAAGTTATATTGATTTATTGAGTTCTTCCAGTGGTTCCTTGCCAGTGATATTAAAAGCAATAGAGGAATTTGGAAAATATTCAGGATTAAAATTAATTGGATCTCATCCAGTATATTTTTATGAGTGGATGAAGGGCTATCTTTCCCATAGCTCAGCTAATACCGGATTGTCATATTGCCCAAAATTACAAACGTTTTGGAAGATTTTCCCTAAGAATAAGGAGAAAAAAACCATCACTGCTTGAGATCTAGTTTTCCTTTGCTTAATTGGTTGGGTGTTGAAGTAAAGTATCAATTTCTCATTGGCTCTGTGTGCTTCAGAATGCTTCCCCTGTCACTCCTAGAATGTCTTGGCGAGTGGGTGGTGTTTGTGTTTGTAGAGGAAGTTCATTGTCATGTGAGTGTGTTGGTCCACGTGCTCGTCCTCAGGCCTGTGCTGCCTGAAAGCAGCGGTTTTGGTTCCAGGGGAACGTTTCTCTGGACACTTAGGATGGTGCCGAGATGGTTAGAAAGTGGTTGCTGGCCTTACCTGTTGGCGAGCGGTGTGAGTGCAGCACGGAAGGTGACGCTGTTCTGTCCTCCCTGCACCCTGTGTGTTCTGGCCCCGTCATCGCTGCTCCCCACATATTGCCCTTTCCTGTTACAAATGAAATACCTCGGTGGTGACAAATCTTGTGAGACATTGCGGGACCGTGTGGGCTGATGAAAGCTCAAGAACACAGGTGCCGACTCTAACGTTGATTCAGATTAGAGTCACGTCGTGCGTTTTGGTCAGGAACCTCGAAGTGAGATTCACATTTCCATCCTATCAGGCTGCATATGATCTCCGTGTGCCCGTTACTGCCGATACTCACTTCCGTTATTTGATTAAGGTGGCGCCTGCCGTGTTTCGCTACCGTAAGGCTATTCCTGTTCTCTCTGTAAGTAGTATTTTGTGGAGGGGCGCTTTATAACCGTGTATATGTCCTGTTCGTCTCAGATTTTTAATTTGTTCATTTATTTATTTGTTAGTGTAGACTCATGGTTTCTGATTTATTCAATGAGTTATAATTCGTTATTATTGTTACTTATTTTGATATTCATATTGTCTCAGTTTGGCTACTGATAGCTGCTTCAAGCCATCTCTGTCCTTTTGACATGTCTTTAATCGTTCTGTGAGCAGCGCCTTGCTTTCTCCTGTAACAAGATGTTCTTGGCTCATCTCGTGCTTTGACTGCCTCAGTCCTGGAATAAGTCATTTCTCCAAGGAGTCCTGGTTTCTTTTAGTGAAGAATGGTGTGCGGAAACCTGCCTTTGGACACTAGAAGTGCCTATTGCTTTTGGGGTATCACTGTTTTCACACCCTCCTATTGGACCAAGCTAAGGTTGTATGTACATTCCACATTTCTGTTAATATATCTTTATTATACATTGATAGGAGTTCACCTGGCTACCTTAAATCCAGGCTCACACCACAAGATTCATCCTAGTTTTCTTCCTTTCCGCATTTGTTATTCTCCTTTCACCAGTGAGAAACCCGGTTCCCCTGCCCTCCACATATTG